TAATGGGCTTACGTATATATACATAAAATTAAACAACTTTCATTTGAAATAATATTCTAACATAGTGCATCATTATTGTTGTTGCGTTTTTCAGGTTTCTATGAACAAAATACCCGCAAGCGTCAAACTGCAAATGTAAATAGGCCTGCAGAACAAGGAGAAATAAGCACAATTTACGAAGATCCTAACAACGAATGTAAAAACAATCAATGGAGAAGAGTTTTGTTGCTGGTCGTCGCCATTACAGTATGTAGATCCATCGAATCTATTCTAAAATTCATCTGCAACAATGGAATTACAATTAAATATAGAAATAAAATTCAATTGGATTTCTGTAATCCGTCAGGTGCACAATATTCCAGAAGGTCTAGCAGTTGGAGTTGGATTCGCTGCGGTTGGTAATAGCGTATCGGCAACTTTCGAAAACGCGAGGTAAGCAACATTTTTGCGTCCGAACAAACAAAGAGCCACGGACAAATATCTACTCCGTTTGGCGGACTCGTAACAATACGCAAAAGACGTCAAAATCCCGCACGTCATGAACTGAGAGTTATTTTAAGCGGAACGAACTTCAACTCATACTCGATGAAATCGTATTTCGATTAGGCAGAGGATAGATTCTAAGAAGCCAGCATAGTGCAAGCTATGTGGAGCGATGTTTCAATTATACGTAATGAAGTAAAATTCACTTAGATCAATCACGCCTATCAGGTTCATCACGAATCATCATCGTTAAATTGTTCGAAGGTCTGGGAAAAAGTGCATCGAACACATTAAAAACGAATATCTACGTTTGATTGAAACAGCTACTGTGACCAGTGTTACTCGTCTAATGTTAAGAGAGGAAAGTACAATCGAAACGAATATCGTCCTTTTCTCTTCGAGTATAATTTAAAAATAATTTCGTTCGTTCGATACGTCGATAATGGTGAAAGGCGCAAAATATATATAGCTGGAGCAAGTGCCGTTGCATAATGGAACGTCACACAGAGCCACGATTGAGAAAGAGGTTGAGCAAGTCGCCGATAGACGGTAGCACCATTGATGCCAAGCGGACGCAAGTTACGAGCGCGTGCTAGGAGGTCCCCATGAATGAGTTCTATGGTGGTCGGTCGCGAGTGCCAGCCGCAGGCAAAGTTTATTGGCAGCAGTGGGTGCCTGTTGCGCGGGGAAAGGGCACGTGTGGCCCTGGAATTCAACGAGCCCTAGGCGCCGCGCATTCCATTCCATACCCCTTTCCCTCGCTTCCTCGTCCCTCCATCCCAACTTGTCCCGAACTCGCTCTCCTTACCGCCTTTAACGCCTTCGACTTTGGAAACAACTCAGCCTGTGCCACGATGACGTGTACTACTACATCGAATCGTATGACGTTGATTTCATTCCTACCGATGTCGGCTGGCCAACGTAAACTTTATTTATAGAAAATGTCAACGATATCGCACGTTCCCATATCTCCGACCTTTCTCTCACTCTCCTCTCGGTCCTTTTCTCTTATTTTTCGTTTCTTCCTTTCCCGGCTAAGATAGCTCGTCAATTCCTCGCCCCACCCCCTCTCACCAATCTTGTTTCAGATTCCTCTTTTCAAATTCTTTCAACTCTCTCTCTCTCTCTCTC